GGCAACCGGTCACTGGTGGTGTCCCCCAGGGATCAGTGTTGGGCACAGTTCTGTTTAATATCTTTATTGATGATTTGGATGAGGGGATTGAGTCAATCATCAGCAAATTTGCAGATGACACTAAGTTGGGGAGGAGTGTCGATCAGCTGGAAGACAGGAGGGCTCTGCAGAGGGACCTGGATAGGTTGGAGAGTTGGGCTGATTCCAACAGAGTGAGGTTCAACAAGGCCAAGTGCCAGGTCCTGCACTTTGGCCACAACAACCCCCTGTAGTGCTACAGGCTGGGGACAGAGTGGCTGGAGAGCAGCCAGACAGAAAGGGACCTGGGAGTGTGGATTGACAGGAAGGTGAACATGAGCCAGCAGTGTGCCCAGGTGGCCAAGAAGGCCAATGGCATCCTGGCCTGGATCAGGAACAGTGTGGCCAACAGGACTAGGAAGTGATTCTTCCCCTGTACTCAGTGCTGGTGAGGCCACACCTGGAGTACTGTGTCCAGTTCTGGGCCCTTCAGTTTAGGAAGGATATTGAGGTGCTGGAGCAGGTCCAGAGAAGAGCAACAAGGCTGGTGAAGGGACTCGATCACAAGTCCTCTGAGGAGAGGCTGAGGGAGCTGGGGCTGTTCAGCCTGGAGAAGAGGAGGCTCAGGGGAGACCTCATCACTCTCTACAACTCCCTGAAAGGAGGTTGTAGCCAGGTGGGGGTTGGTCTCTTCTCCCAGGCAGCTATCAGCAAGACAAGAGGGCATGGTCTCAAGTTGTGCCAGGGGAGGTTTAGGTTAGATATTAGGAAGAAATTCTTTACAGAGAGGGTAATGAGGCATTGGAATGGGCTGCCCAGGGAAGTGGTGGATTCACCGTCCCTGGAGGTTTTTAAGCTGAGACTGAATGTGGCACTTAGTGCCATGGTCTAGTAACCATGGTGGTAGTGGATCAAGGGTTGGGCTTGATGATCTCGAAGGTCCCGTCCAACCCAGCTGATTCTATGATTCTGTTGTACATAGGTATTTTTTTAGTTCCATTCTCAAAATGGACCTGCATTCTTGTAATGAAACCAGGTATTCACTTTATCAAATTAGTCAAAGTTCTATTAACATAGATCGTTGGTGAGTACCAAATGAGGGAAATTAAGGAGGCGTGTACTTCTGTGAGATGTTCAAAATGACTTATGAGAAGGTATTGTGTTGAGCTGTGCAACATGGAATGACTCAGGGCAAAAATTCCAGGTATCATTTGTTCTAGTGCATGAGTATTTTTCATCTTTAGGCATGTAAGTTGTTGTATTACAAAGCTTTTTTTTTAAGAATGCCAGCAATGAAAAGTAGTCCATGCTTTGCAGTATTAAATATTTGTTTCATTTGAGAGCATCAGCACTGAATGATTTTCTGCACGCAAAACCTAAAGTAAAGACAGGTTGCCGCAATCTCTGTAAGTGTACCTTGTAAACCATCAGCTAGATCAAATCCTGCAACAAGACTTGAGCTAAAATGGTGACATCCTTATCATTTGGCATTTATGGGAATTGTAGAGAAGATAAAAAACTTTATCCTTGTATGTTTGTGTTAATGTCTGTTGGCTTTTTAAAAAACAAAAGTGTTAGTTTTCCTAATTTTTTTAAGGAGACTATGAAGTATGTGCATATTTGTGTGCAGCACCTTGAAAACAACATTGGAATTAGAGAATTAATAAAACTGGATGAGGTTGGAATAGAAGTGTAGGTAGAAGTATGGCTGATGTTAACTTAGAAGAAAGATAACACTGTCTGAAAAGGAAAACTAGGTGGTAGAGGAGAGGTGTAATATTTTGAGCTGGAATGTTCTACAATGCTTAAACCATAAAGTTCACCTCTGTTGGAAAGAACTGATAGCTCTTATCTTCTGTAATAGTGTATGCCTTTCTTTATTAGGGTTCTCCTTCAAATTAGTGAAGTGGCATTACTAGGTAAGAATACAGAGCTTTTAGGGGCTGGCTAAATTATATGTATTGTTTTTATGAACATTTCTGCTTGTAGTTCTGAACTGTTCAGTTGAGGTGGTCCAATAGTGGCCCAGTGGTAGAGGCAGCAGTGCTTGTAATCTTAATGCAGAAGATTATAGAACTTCTTTCTAAACACCAGAAAACTCAGGTACTCTTAAATGTGCTTAAAAAGCAAATTACCATAAGTATATTGATGAAATAAAAGGTAGTATTAACACTGTCTGTATATACTTAATCTGTAGCAGCCTATTGCAAGGAGTCTTTAACTGGTTTTGAAAACCAATAATTTAAAATGTATTTTGACAAATCATCAAAATCAATTTCCTATTACAGGAGAGTTTCTCTTACTTTTATCTTCTCTGAGAAAGCCTTTTCTCTATGAATTCCTTCATGCTTGAATGACATGATTCAGCTACTGCTAAGTCAGGAACAATTCTATCAGGTTAAAGCTTCATGAGTGATAAAGATATTTCCTAACTCCTGCATGGCTTGCAAAGTGCTTGGCTGCAATTTAGTAGCCCCTTTTGAGTACCTAAAGAAAAAAAAATGGAATGCTTGAAAGACATTCCTAATGTTGAGAGATATGAATAACTTTTTTTCTCATTTTTTAATATAAAACACTGAATGCATTATTTAATAAATCTGGAAGTGACAAATCACATAATAAAATTTAGAACATCGATATAACTAATAGACAGCTATAGAAATAATTGACAACCAAAAGCTGGCTGTTTCAATGGAAGGAATAAAATAACTGAGTAGAATCCCTTGTTACAGCAAAACCACATAGAACCTCTTGAATAATTTTTAATGCATCTTCCAAAACATGATTTCTCTGTGCCTTTTTTGTATTAACTGACTTCTGTACCTTGTTGCAAAGATTTTTTTTTCAGTCTCACTAATTTTATGGTATTAAGAAGTTCTAAACATAGGACTTAGAACTAAACTTAGTTTCCCAGGTGTGCTCTAATATAAATTATCTAGTTTGCCCTCAAGAACTGAAATTGTTACAAATTGAACTTCTAAAATTATTTGGCTAGGACTTTTTTTCCCCCTCTATTTAACAAGTTTTCATAATCATGGTGTTGTCCACAGTTCTGGGAAACAATTCATTCTATGTCCAGAAGTTCACTACTGTCTTAATTCATAAGTAACATGTCAGATTATTCTCTCAGGTCACTGTGTAGTAATAATGGGATTGTCACTTGACTGTCATGAGAAACTGTATCCCTATCTCCTGGAACAATCTTCAAGACAGATCATCAGTTTTGTTTATATGTGACAAATATTTTCCACCTGAAGTGATAAGCTCAGGCATCAATTACGCCTTGGTGGTTCTTGCTCTGTTATGAACTGCTATGACAAAAGGTCAAAACAATTCTGAGACAGGTTTTCTTAAAAATGTCCTGTGTACTCTGTTAACCTACACATTTGTAGTCCATCAAGTTGTTTCAGTGGTTATGGACTCAGTACAATGTGTGCTTTGCAAGGTCCTCCTGAAGAGCCTGTAGTCATATAGTTGCCAATTGATATACCTAGTTGCCAGTTGTGATTGTTCCAGTTCTTTGTCTCTCAATGAGTCAGTGTTGGCTTAGTTCAAGAGTATAAAAATGGTACTCTAGTTTTTACTTCAAAGTTCTATTGTGTTGACAATTTTAATAGTCTTTGCTTTAATTTATTTTAATTCATTAAGAACTTGCTGTGAAGACTCACAAAATCTCAGCTAATTTATATCAACTGCCTTTCCCACACTCCACGGATTCTTGTAATTTGACTTTCACTCTGTAATATGAACTGTTGCAATCATTACTGAAAATATAACTTGTTAATGGGACCTGTGTTGATTTCCTCCTTTTGTTATTTTTCTCATCTCTTCATCTAAGCAAGAAGTGCCAGTAGCGTGATACTGTGGGTTGGGATAAATAAATATGTGTAAAAGCTGATAGCTTCTTTTGTTTTAATAACTGTTTTGTATTCTCAGAGTGTCACAGTGCATATAACCTGCAAAATTGCAAAACCCAACGTCACAACCCAACTAACAAAATTCAAGAGCTTGACAGGGTAAACATTCTTTTGGAGAAGAAATTTACATCTTCAGAGTATTAGTAGGACCTTCTTTTTCATATGTCATGACTTGAAATTTCTTAATTCCAAAATTAGAAAATAGATAAATACATTTGCATTGGAAAGAGGAAAACATTTCCTTTCAAACTAGAATAATTATATTACAATACAAAACAGAATAAAAATTAAGCCATTTCAAAATAATATTTTGGAAAATGTAAAAATAATAAAGTGCTGAAATTCTTTTGCCTGCTTTACTCTTCCCACAGTCAATTTGGATGAAAACTTGGAAACGAAACCTGCACTGTGTATACTGGTGGAATGTGGCTGTATGTTTCCGTTGCCAGCTCTCAAACTATATGTCTTCTGACAGTTATATCCTACTAATATTAGCACAGTATATTTTTTTTCCAGTGAACGTGATAAAAATGATACACAACAGGATTTATTATTGCCTTCAATGAATTTGTTTGAGCTGAAAACACTTATGTTTTATTGTATAAGGCCAACAGTGGTTTTAGCTCTTAAAGGTCAGCTTTTTCCTTTTTGGGATACAGATTGTCTATGTCTGTATTGGAGTACTCTCAAAACAGACCCCTTCAGCATTTTAGGGGGCTGGGAGTGGGTGGTAAAGTGTTGTCTTTGGGAGCTTTATCTTTTGGAGTTCGCTCTATGAGGTCTCTGACTGGATATAACAACTGGGAGAAGAGGGCAAATCACAAAATATTGTCTCTAAATCCTGTAGAATAAAAAAAAAAAAATCTGCTGATAATGCAAGTAAGTGAAACAAAAGGCTGTAATACGTTTAAATTTAATATGCTATCTTAATGAAGTATTAGCAGCAAGGTATGTTTTAACAATATTTCTTTTTATAGTAATTGTTAATGTTAGTTACTGAACAGTAGACAATTTGAGACTTGTGAAGTCTAAGCATTATGTGTGTCTATATATGTGTGCACACAGGAAACCTCGACCTGTCTCTCAGCTGGTTGCACAGCAGGTTCCTCAGCAATTTGTGCCCCCTACACAATCAAAGAAAGAGAAAAAAGACAAAGTAGAAAAGGAAAAAAGTGAAAAGGAAACAAGCAAAAAGAACAGTCATAAGAAAACCAGGTAAAAAAATCTAGAAACTTTTGCAGTATTGGTAAAATGTAATTTGCAAACAAAAATAAGAGATGTTCTTTGATTGTACTGCTTTTTAAGTGCTGTGGCAAACAATAAGGCTAAATATTGGTCTGTGAAGTTTCATTGGTTTAGGATGTCTATAAAATGCGAAGACCTGCAGTATGTAATTGTGGTCAGAAGATGGAGATCAATTGAATAGTGAAAGAAAGACTTTTTAAGAGTTACTAAGGTATTCTTTTAAGGGTTACAAAGTATTTCTCACACCATACAAAACTATTGATAGGCAAATTGATGATGTTAATCTCTGGAAAAGAGAGAGGATGGGAGTGACTAGTTTTCATATAGAATAGTTGTGGGGGAGAGAGAGAACCAGTACCAGACTGCAGATGAGTGGGAAAGTAACTTGATTATTGATAGCCTTGCAGAACCCTTTAGCTTTGAAGGGCTGAACTAGGGTATAAATTAACGTGACAGAATAAGGCATGTATATTATCTAGTGTTAAAAATCTCTGTGCTGCATCTGGGATGCTGAAGGAAACCTTGGACTCTTAGAACTGAAAACATGAATTATTACAGTCCAGATAAGCTGTTGTAAACGCCTTGATCTTGCTGTAAGACCAGGTGGAAGGAAGGTTCAAACTGCTAAACAAAAGCAGCAGGTTTAACCCCTAGTTCATCACAAACTGAGCATAAAGTTATTGTGGCAATAGCGCTGTGCCAAAAATCTGAGAAGCTGAGAAGTATATAAGACAGAAATATCCATTGGGATTAGTTATGCAGAGAAGTAGCAGATGCTTTTCCTATGCCTGATCATTAGGGTCAGAACCAGGTAGAAACAGAGTCAAGGGAGAGCAGTCATTTAGAAAGTCATGTTTAGGATTAAGGACACTGAGATGTTAGGAAATATCAAACAATTGAAAGATTAGATGAAGACACTTATCAACACTGTGTGTAATACTCATCTCTGTGCATAATTTAAATCACAGTGTATGCCAGAAATACCAGAGTTATACTGTGAACACAAAGTCCAGTTCAAATAGTATAGTGGTGGTCCTAGTGAGGCTTTCAAATGAGGTAACACCTGCTGCAAGTTAACACTATCTGTGCTGTTGAAAAGACAGATACCAACATCTTTGTTATTGAACATAATTTTCTACATAGAATTGTTGCTTAAGGCTGCTGCAGAGATAGAGGTTTCACTGGATCAAATTTGTAACTTCCTATAGTCACAATAAAGACTTGATCTTTAAAAGTAAAAACCTTCACATGTGCAATACATCCATATTGCTGCACAGTGACATTATTCATAATGTCAACTTGTAAATGATTTTAGGTAGTAATGTGTTATATTCAACTATTTCAACGTAAAACATACTAGGAAACACTCCACTGTTAACACTTGTGGTACATTGTTTTCCTATGTATTGGATGTTGCACAAAGCAGTCTTATATATGTTTGCTCTCCAGAGCTCCTAAAAAGTAGGAGAGAGACAAGATAATAAGGTGGTGTGTGTGCTTTTAATATGATTATTTGCTTTGTTTAGGCCAAGGTTGAAAAATGTGGATCGAAGTAGCGCTCAGCATTTGGAAGTTACCGTTGGAGATCTGACAGTCATAATTACAGACTTTAAGGAGAAAACTAAGTCACCACCTGCTTCCAGTGCTGCTTCTGCAGATCAACACAGTCAGAGTGGTTCTAGCTCTGACAACACAGAGAGGGGAATGTCCAGGTCATCTTCACCCCGAGGAGAAGCATCATCACTGAATGGGGAATCTCATTAAAGTTTTTTTCCTCCAGTTTTAGTCTCTTCTCTTCAAAACGTACAAATACATAACTTCTGTCACCTGTTACCACATTTTCATGACAGGTTATTCATACATAATTGGTATATTGACTGGAACATAATTTATGCAGCTAAAAAAAAAAAGAAAGAAGTGCAGTGGTAGAAACAATAACAACATGAAGCTGAGTGAGGGGAGGTTTAGGTTAGATGTCAGGAAAAGGTTTATCACCCAAAGTGTGCACTGAAACTGGCTCCCCAGGGAAATGGTCACTGCACCAAGCCTGTCTGAGTTCAAGAAGCATTTGGACAATGCTCTCAGGCACATGGTGTGATTCTTGGGGTATCCTGTGCAGGGCCGGAGTTGGACTCGATGATCCTTGTGGATCCCTTCCAACTCAGTATAGTCTATCATTCTATAATAATTTAAATGCAATCTACAAGTGCTTACAAAGCATGTTCATACCAACTTTTTATCTTCATGTGTAAGGGTGCCATGAAAATGTGGTTTGAATGTTCATTATGCAGTGTTATTGGTATGTCCATTTTCACTTTTAGTTTAGTGAATTCTAACACAACTCTTGGAGTCTCCTCTATTGGCATGTACTGAATTTAAATTTTTATAACATAGTTCAAGCTGCCTAAATATGTATTATTTGGGAATTGTGAAACATAGTTATATGTATGCAAGTCAAAGATCAACTTAATCAACTATTGCTGCAACAGAATTTTCATAATAATTATCTTCTTAAAAGCACCTGCTGGTACTTGGTGTGGTTAAATAGGAAAAATGTTATTAAAGAAAACATTTGTATGGATTTTTGCCAATGTTTGACACATTTTACTAGATTACTGTTACTGAATTATGTTGATGGTTTTACCAATATTTTTTGACACTTAAAACACTTATTGTAATGTTTACAGGCAAAATAGAAAACACATTCTAAGCATTGATTAGTCAGCCTTGCAATTCAGGTGAAGTACTGCACTGTCGCTGTACACTGGTATTCTGTGTTGTGTAACAAATACTGAACTACAGATGATGATGCATTTGGCAAAAACTAACATTTGGAAATATGGAAGTTTGGAAAAGCTTTAAAAATAACAGAACTGCAGTTCTCATTTCTGCTTAGTGCTGTTTCTTTTCCCCAAATTTTTCTAGTGTCACTTAGTTACTTATTTCATTACAGGAATATCAGATGTTGCACAAGAATAAGAAAATAACAATACTATTATTTTTTGTTCCTGAATCAATTTCTTTAATATTGATTTGGCCTATTAGAATGTATTATGTCATAAATCATATGGAAAAAAGCTCAGTATCCATCCTGCTTTATGGCATAAACTGTCAACATTTAAGCACTTAGCAATATGCTGATACAGAGCAGAATTATTTACAGTCCCTTCTGGTATTATGTAAAGTTACCAATAAAATATTTTTGTGAATACAGATTTTGCATTTTTGTTTACAACCAATAAGTGTTTTGATACATACATACAATTCATGTATAGATTTTAAATTATAGATTCTGGTTCAGTACAAAAGTCCATTTAGCTCCTTTTAGGGAGATAGTGCACTTACATTCCTATGAGCCTTTTCTTTTTCATTCAAAGTAAATATATTTTAAAGCCCATGTAAAAGTTGGATGGACCTTCTTGGTAGTGAATCCAGCCCCAAATTATTACCAACATATGATATGTCTTCTTAAAAACTTAAAACAATGGATTTTTGTAGCCCCTGACAATTGTGATGTTTGATGGTTTCTTGTAGTAATGTATTTTTCTGTTTTTAATGCAGTACTTCTTCAGGCACAATGGTACTGTTCTATTTTGTAAGATGCTAGTTGTGAAATACAGTTAGTTGCATAAAATGAGAGTCTGATGTGATATCTGAGAACATACATACCTCATTCCTTGGTGTTGCTGTTTAAACTTTCTAGACATCAAATGTTAATTATAGGCTATTTCAGATGGATAACTACTGACCTGTTTATTATGTATTCTGCTTTATCTTACTAAATAGGATGTCTGCTCATTGCTGTTACCTGGCCAACTCTTAGTATCTGTAAAACAATGCTTTTTAAGGTTCTTAAATGTTTTTTGGGCTGGGCTGGTGTTCGGAATAACTTACACTAGTTTTTAAAAGAGAAATACATGCTTCTCAACTTTATTTTTTTATTTTTAGGTGGCACTGTACTGATGTAATGGATTACAAAAGAGCTGAAACTCTTTAAAGTAAGCAGTGTTAGGATAGCAAATCTCATTGGAAGAAGTTTTATGAAATGTGTTTCTAATTTAAAATGTAATGAATGCTATCACATTTCAGAATTCCTTGTGAACAAATAATAATCTATTACCAGGAATTCACTAAACGGGAAGTGTATTTTCATTTAAGTTTATGTGAACACACCACCCAGCACTGCCCGCAAGAGGACTCTATCTTGAGAAATAAGTAACCATTTAGTTTGGAAGGAAGGAAGGATGGAGTGGATTGTACTATGTCTCTAGAGAATAATCTCTAAATTGTGGTACAAGTATGGCTGTAATCAAAAAGAATGCAGAAAGATCTCACTGTTCTTTATGGAACAAGACATTGAAAAACAATTTCTAACTACAGATACAACACAAGTCAGCTAGGATCTAAAAAGCTGTGGTGGTTTTAACTGAACTATTAGGTTGCTAGCATTTCATTGAAATTATACTTGTTTTAGCATTAAGCAAAGTTAAGATAATTTTTGCCTGTTGGTGATAAAAGGAATATGACAATACTGACAGCAGAGTAGAAAATCTGAAGTAAAATATGGCATATGACTCTGTTCATAGTGTTATAATTTAAATGAACTTCACTTTCATAATTTTTAAATAATTTTGACGTGTAGTAATCCTAAGTCCTTTTTCTAACTGTAAATATATTTAAAAGCATCTTTACTCCATTTATAAAAAGTGAAAATTTAATGTTGTAATGTGTTTTGATTAGCTATTTTTCTCTGTGATTGCTCTCTGCATAAGAACTGTTATTTGTTAAATCTATATATGCACCAGTCTTCAACAGCCATAAATCCTGGATTGTTCATGAAATGGTGGCCCAACAAAGACAAGTGTGATAGTGTTCCATGTAAATGAGTTCCTTTATGTGTTGATTGATTGTCTGGTTTCAGAAAGGAAAAGGGGGGGGAAATGGGGGAAAATGGAGTATAAATAGTTCATTGATAAAGTGTACAGTAATTCAGTCTCTTATCTTCCTAACTTTGCCATTAATATAATTATATTAATTATAAGGAAAAGAACAAATATAGTTGAGACTGATTTTTTTTTTCATGAATTTAAGTCTACATATTTGAGATAAACAAAAGTTCTACTCAGTAGCAGGTTAAATTATACCATATAAATCTTGATTCCAACAGAGATGATAGTAATAAATAAATTACATTTAAAAATTTAAAATTCTTGATATTAATAGTCTTGATATTAATACAATGACTGATGTTTTAACCTATTATATGTTTTATCTAGATATTTGATGTTTTGGAGCATAGATTGTAAAATCTCAAAAAGGGTTTGATTTTATAATTTGTGCACTTTACTTTTTTTTAATATTATGAATAGCACATTTTCAAGTAGCCATGTGAGAGAGAGTACTTTCTAGAATTTGTTTCTACCAGTTCACTATAGTGTTTAGGCAGGTCTTCTAAACTTCACATCTTGCATCTTAGATTCTTTACTTTTTCCTGTCTCAAAAGCCTGACAGTTTCCCACATTATGCTGATTGATTTTACTTTGTTATACAGGATGGATTTGTTATGGAACTGTCTATTGTGTATTTTTTATGTACATCAGGGTTCTTTAACTGTATCTGTTTGTTTTCTTTCTGTCACATGCCTTTATTTGATTCTTCTCCCTACTAGGGAGTCTACAAACATCTGAAACTGTATGGAAATAGAAAGGCATCTAAATTTAATTTCTCCGAAGGCAACAGCAAGTGCTATACTTGTAGTAAATATGGCCTGTGTTTACTCAGGAATAAGATAGGTAAGACAAAAGTTAGTGCTGGTTTTGGCTTGTGGACCAGTCAGTCAAATATGGCATTTTGCAAATGCGTACTTCTATCTTAATGTTAAGATTTGGGTGTGCTGGAAATACAGTTTGAGATTTGAAAGGTTTTACTAACCTCAAATTGTGCCCCAACTTATGCCAAAGCAGTCTAAGTTTGAAAGGTTGTAACTTCACAAGCTAGAAAAACTGTATGGTAAAATCAGTCAAACTGAGGAAGCTCAGATGGATTTCTTTTGGGCTGTCAAAGTTTTAACAAGATGAGAAACTGTTAAAGAAGACTTAAAAGATTTGTCTCAGACAACAGTCTTAGACTGAGCTTAGTTTGACATCTAAAGAACCCATATTTTAACAGGAATTAACAGGATTTAACCACTAAATTAAACTTGAAAAAGTACTTCACAAGTTAATTAGAAGTCAGTGCTTTATAGAAATTATTGTAACTTCCTGTCTGGAATGGAGTAAATGATGAAACAGCAATGGATAGCTGCACACTTGCTAGAAAATGCTATTATCCAACAGCAAGTGATGTTTACATGACTTTCCCAAGAATTTTTCTGTGGCTGAGGCCTAAACTATATCATTGGATTCAAACAGTGAAAGAAAATGCAGCAAACAAATAAATTAGTTTCAGATCCTGCGAACTTAATGATACAGGAGCTGTTTACGCCCTTTATTTAACTGTGTTGGTGAAAATTTATTAAAACAAACCACCACTGTATATTATGCAATCACTCAGATGTATTTGGTCCTGATCTTACCCCTTTTATTGTGGGAGACAGATAAAAGTTATCAGAATGAACTTGCTCTGTCTACTGACACAGGAGATTTTAAGAGCAGTTTAATGGGCACAAGAAGTTTTAGGTGTACTTTTAAGGAGTTAAACATGGAAGATGAAGAGCAAAAGCATATTCCATAGCTCCTAGTTAATATTACTAAGAATGATCACAAGAAATTGCTGTCCCATTTTGGGTTTTGTAAAAGATGAAATGGTGATATTATCTAATCACTCCTTGTCTCATATGTCTAGAAGGAAAATTACCACCAGAAAAATGTTGTTCAGTAACAATAGTTAAAAAATTAGTTCCAGAATGTTAATTATTTTGTAGAAATTGTGGCATATCTTGGCAGAGGGAAGAATATTTGAGCAAGAAACCCTTCAGGACTACATTTTCAGGACCTAGGCCACCTGGAAAAGTGTAGTAGTTAATTACACTGTTCTCTGTTGTTTAACAGAGTCATGCATTAACTCCAGCTAGCAAATAAGTACCACACAGCCATTTGCTTACTCTCCTCTGGTGCAAGGGGAGAGAGAATTGGAAGAGTAAAAGTGCAAAAACTCACGAGTTGAGATAAAGACAATTTAACAGGTAAAATAGAAGCTGCAAACACAAGCAGAACAAAAGTAATTCATTCACCACTTCCCATGGGCAGGCAGGTGTTCAACCATCCCCAGGAAAGCAGGGCTCTGTCACACATGACGGTGATGGGGGAAGACAAATGCCATCACTCTGAATGTCACCTGCTTCCTTCTTCTATCCCCAGCTTTATATGTTGAGCATGACACCATATGGTCTGGGATCCCTGTGGTCACTTGGTGTCAGCCATCCTGGCTGTGTACCCTCCCAACTCCGTGTGCACCCCCAGTCTTCTCACTGGTGCATTGGTATGAGAAGCAGAAAAGGCCTTGACTCTGTGTAAGCTCTGCTGAGCAATAGCCAAAGCATCACTGTGTTATCAACACTGTTTCCAGCACAAATCCAAAACACAGCCCCATACCAGTTACTGTGATGAAAATTAACTGTATCCCAGCCAAAACCAGCACATCGGTGTATAAATATTTATCTTGGTCAAAGCAAAGTGAACATGCCCCCTTTAACTTTTAAGATTTTAAGAAATGTGGCTGTAGACCAGTGTAACACTAATTTACATCAGAGTTGCTGAGGAGACGGCTGAGAAGAGACTATTAATGTAGTTTTTGATAACCTGCTACCCTTGCACACCCAATTTTCCTCTTCTGTATGAAGAAGCAAAAGTATGCAGAAGAAGGAAATAAATGTAACCTGGGCTAATGAAATGTGGCTGTTTACCTCCTTCCCAGTCTCACTGGGTTCTACAAAATACAAATTGAATTTGGTTCAAGATATTCCCAGGTATTTGTCGCTTAAAAAAGATGCAGTTGTTCAATCACTTTGCATCTGTTAGTTAAGACAGGTGAGTGAATACCCGCTTTGGGAACACAGATCTAATTTGCTGTTTATATGCATCTAATCTATACTTGCCATCCATGAATAATCTATTTCAAACTGATCCTTCTTTGCACAGAATAAATAAAAATGCTTCAATGTCAAGCCCAGTTCCTGATGGCACAGATCTCAGAAAGCAAATCTGCTATCTGACTGATCATCTCTTACTGTAACAGCCTTCAGCTATGAATTAATCTAGGCAAGGGAAATCTCCTCAGGTTATGTGTATTTATTATCACCACTTCCAGCTCTGAAGGAAACACATTCTGATTCCTTCCTCTCTTTTTTTTTTTTCTTTTAAGTACATCTATAGCATACGTGGATGCAGTGAGTTTGAAATAATTTACTATGCCTGCTTTTGTAAGTGGGGAATTTGATGGCTGTTCCCAGTTCTTCAATTATATTCTGGTTTCTGTAAGACTAACAATGGTATGTGAAGCTTAGAGGTCATTATCAATTTTGTCGCCATTGTCTTTGTTTCTATATAATTGACTTACTGAACAGCTTCTTGCTGAGCAAACTTAGTTACACTGATCCTGTCCCATTCGAGCACTCTGGCTGAGGTAGCTGGCGTTCTGGGATGCCAATTATCTGCATTTCTGCAAATGATCTGATTCTGTGCTGGGAGGCTTCCAGGCATGGAAAAATAAGCAAAATGCTTTCCAACTGATGCAGGCATAATGTTGCCAAGTAACTTGCAGTACCTGGAGGCTTTTTGAAAGGTCTAAGAAAATGCTCCCAGTCCTTGCTAGAGAAGGTCTTAGGAGCATGCACAGATACTGTGCGCTTTCTCAGCTTTCCTACAGAAATTCCAACCAACCAGCTTCTGTTTCTAAAATGTCAAAGACCTTCAAAAACCCACAGTCCAACACAGAGGATAAGGAGGGGAGGGAGGAAGAACAAAGAAAATTTATTTTCAGAATAATCCCTAGAAGAACCATATATAATGGCTTCTTCGTCTATTAGTATTCGTTTTTCTGTGTACTGTATTAGAAGTAGGCAGCATTACACACTTTTAGAGGTGTGTCTTGCTTTATAATTCTTGATACCTGTTGGTTCAGTGACTTTTGGTCTAAAGATAGATGTAGGGGTTTGTGAATTGAATAGTAAATACTATGAACATTTCACTCCTGGATGCAGGTAATTTATTGAAAGAGCAGAAGTTTTGATTAAAGAGCTAGTCAGGAACAAAATAAATTCCTCTTGTACAATTAGCCAATATACAATTTTAAAGGTCTAATTCCTGGACTACTAGAAAAAAAAAGTGTAGCTTTATGTTGCAAGGGTAATAGGAACCCAAACTACAATGGATGTGGCTTCTAATGAGTTTTGTGACCAGTAGTTCATATGGCTATTTTCAATGATTATTCCACACCTTACTCTGTTAATCTTGCAGCTTGTTAGACCATCCTCACAACCAAATCAAGACTACCAACAGTACTGTCAGATGCTCTTAAAATTTGCTAAGTGCCTTATACAGAGCATCGCTGAGGCAATGGTTCGATTGCAAAGAAGTTTGACAAAAGATTTACTCCTCTGTAAAGGTTATCAGTTGTAACCAGGGTGATGTTCCTGGTTATAATACACTAAAGTCTTACATTTTATTGCTAGTACAAGTATTTAATAAGAAACAGTCCAGAAATTTCAATTTGTAAAACATACATTTTCTGGAGGAGATTTTTTTTCCTCTAGTCAGCTATGATGGTCTACTGGAATATCACAGAAATGAATAAAACTTGTGAGTATTTTTGGATGCTTTCACATTTCTCAGTTTCTCAATCAAAGACAATATTACCGTTCTTGGGAAGGGGTACATAACTTGGTTTTGTTCATAGAGTTTATGTTAATCCAATGGTAGTTTTTTAAGGATTTTGTTGTTAGAAAAAGGGCTTGTTATTTTGAAAATAAAAATCTTACCTGCCAGGTGTCTTCCCCAAAAGGAGTAAGTGCCTTTTCTGTTCTGACTCTTAGAAGTATTTACTTTGTCAGATTGAATGTCCTGGATAAACCAACTATTAAGTACTGAGTGTTACCAATGGCTTGAAATCCTTTCACTGGAATGAGACAGAATGTAAGCCACTTGAATTACTTTGAGACCTGATGTTATCGGAATTTTTATAACTGCTACGAGTAGTATACTTCTAAGAACAATGTAACTTTACAGGAACTTGACAGGAAATAAATATTTATTAAAAGAAGTACATAAATAAATATTTATTAACCAATTTAAGTGAGAGAAAATGTTACACCATGGGGGCAACAGTCTTGCTGTTAGCAGTCCTGACTACTTAGTGGAAAGTAAAACTAAGGCCCTGGACTCTAACTATAAAAAAATGTGTGGTTTTTGGTGAGAGATTGGGACTGACAATCTTATGTCCACCTTCTAATAAAGTAATTCTTCCTACCTAAGTTTTTACCAATTCTCAAGCAGAAAAGAAAGCATGAGCAGATTTCAGTAAGAGGCCCTGTGGTTTAATTGGTGCTGCTTCCTATATCTAGAGGATTTTTTTTAATTTTTTTTTTAAACTTTGCTCAGGACTGGTACAGCTGAAAGTATATTTTCCCTTCATTCTTAAGCCTAGACTTTGAATGGAGTTTCTCTGAGACACTTTTGTAGTGAAATCGTATTCCCTACAAACATTGAAGACAAAAATAAACATCTCCGTGAACAAAAGATTGTGTGTGGTTGTAATTTTTTTTAATATATACAAATGTATTATAAAAAATATAAAGATACTCCAAGAAAAACGTAGTGTATTGGTCTACACTTAAAAGGTCTCAGTGTAGCAGTCTGAAAGTACAGTTTGCATCACGAGATGCTACAGATTTTCTGTCTGATAAACTATGTTCAATTCCAGTTAAGCATTCCTTTAAGTAAAGATGACAATACATTACATTTAGTCAAGTGTGTAGTAACCCATTGGGAGACTGCCTTCAACTGACTTCTTCCTACTTCAGTTAAAAGACATTATTAATTTAGAATGCTGAAAGTGTGGCAGGACGGCTGAGGGGAAACGTCTGGAAAAAAAGAAACAGTAGGAATCTCAGTGCAAAGATAAATTTTTTCTGTATTAAATGTTAAACAATTAATGATAGTGGACTTGTTTAAAAATTAACATGCCTATAGTTATTTCACATCGATGACATACAGTTGGTTTCAAATGAGCATCAAAAGGTGTTTGATGCCTAGAATAGTGACACACTGAAATGCTTCCCCCAGGAGTAAATACTTCTTGCTTGTGAAGAATCTGATAAGACAGTATTTTTTGTGAAAACTACTGTAGGTGCACTATGTTAAAATCTTGACTGACAGTGCTTAGGGTGTGCTATGATAAATAAAATGGTAAATAAAGTTATTAAATTGTTCAGAACCCATCTCTGAATATGTTATTTGTACTGTCTAGGAGGTGCAAAAAATACAAGTGGGCAATTTGGGGATAAACAGAAGACTTGGGGAATTTGATCTCAAGTTGCCAAGAGGCCTCTACTAATTTATGGCAGAGATAAGGCATTTTGGCTTTTGGCTATGATGGAAGTTGAGATGTTCCTGGAAGTACTGCTTCTGAGGCAAGAAATTATGGAAGTATCCATGCTTGCAAATTAAAGTAACAGCTGAGGTAAGAAACTTTGTATATACAGCTACTCTGTTACTGAAGCCGACTATAAAACTGTGGTCTATGTGGATTCTGCCAATTTATCTTCAAGCTACACACAGTTCCTGTGTTCAGTTCTCTGAATTGTCATTTGTGTTGCTTTGCAGCATGACACAGAGGTTCTACAAGGCATTCTTAAATGAAGCTCATTCCCTTGTTCAGATTGTCAGAGTTTCGCATTTGTGCAGCAGGTAAGTACAGTGCTGGCCATGAGTATGGGAATTCATCCCCACTCCAGAGAGGCAGCGTGTGAGGCTGATACCTCCTCAGGTGCAGAATGCTTTTAATGTCACCCTGCCAGTGTTGGGCATAGATCCCCAAGTGCAAGCAGCAAGTGTTAGGAGACTGTTGGCATAATTACCAAGTTTGGTACTGCAGAAGTACTGCCTAAATTGGCATCAGATACCAGAATGAGGCTATTGTCACTAGTTAAAGGGGTCTAATTTAGTCTTACTCATTAATTTTAAAAGAACAGAAGGGATTCAAAAGAGGAGATCAAGTTCTAAAGCCCTTCTATCACCCTTTTACTAATTTCTTTCCATTGCTGACTATTTAACAAGACTGCTACACAACTATGGATCTGAAGATCAAAAAAAAATTTCTTAAATTCCACACAAATGTTTTGGCAACCATGGGAGATCACAGCATTCCCACACAGATATGGGCCTGGTGCTTGGAGATAGCTTAGGACAGCATCTGATTTTATTTTACCCTTTCTTGTCTTGAAAAAAAATAAAATAGTAAAAAAAAAAATTTCTAAAGTTACAGATAAAAGATGGGTAAAGGAAGGCTGAATAATGCGTAAGTGCAACCATGACTCAGCAGCACTTCAAGTTATTTTGGTTATTTCAGGCTCAAAGTTCAGCACAACACAATATTCCAACTACTTGCTGGCTCTGCTGCCACTCATGCAGTGGAATGGGCTGAAAACATGATTCTATTGACACCTTGGATAAATCAGTGTAGTGTCTGCACAGCCCAGGGTGTTGCACAGGGCACTGCAAGGCAGGTTGACTGCTTGCCCCGAGTAATTCCATGAACTTCAGGCATGACCAAGGCTGTTAGCCAAGTATAAGGATGCTGGTACCTTAGGCAGTAGTCTGTGATGTGGCTGTTCTATTCAGTTTTAAAAGAAGTAGTCAGTACAAAAGACAATATTAGTGTTTTATCTCTTCATTATAATTCAAGCACTAAATGCATTGAACAACTACTGCATTTGGTTGCTCTGATCTGGTTTGTTTGTTTGTTTGTTTGTTTAATTAGCAACTACAGAACTAAAGCAACCCTTAGAGAAAATTATGTGGACAGACAAACATTAGGACTGTATTTCTCCATTCTTGATGTTGTCTCACATTGGTTTACAGTGTTACACCCTGCTTGAAGAGGACTAGGGAGCAAAAAAGTGTGCAGATGAACAAAATAAAAAGGCAAAATAATTGACAAAGTCAGTCAACTCTTCACGTGGTTTGACTGACTGATCCCTTTCCAAAACACCTCCTTACTGAATGACTGACAGTTGTCTTTGATTTTGAGAATTTTTATCAATATTTTTATACATTGTGGGCAATTTTATACATTGGGAAATTTGAAGAGTAGATGCAGTAAGAATGGAAGGCAGTGGTACCAAGCTAAGTCTTTTTCTTAAAACGTAACAGGGAATTAAAAACCAATGATATCTGGCAGCAACAGAAAAGGGTCATTGTCCCAAGAAGTCCGATGATACCATATGTACAACACATGGCAGCAGAGCAGTTTCTTCTTACTTAGCCAACCTCACAATCTATCACAGCCGAGTGTTGACACTGCAGCTTGTATGAAAGGGCACATGAACATCAAAGAAAGTGTTGCTGCCTTTGAAAAACTCTTAACTGGTCTGCATGAGGCAGCATTGACACAAAGCTGTCAGCAGAAAATCTTATTGCTCTGCAGCTTAGCTAATAGTTTAACTTCCTGAAAGAACAAAACCAGGGGGAATGATACAGATGCGTCTGATTAGGACTGGGTTTTTTAATTAAGTTGATCTGATTTATATCTTGATCTAATGAGTTTTTAGAATGTTGTTTTCCTTTTCTGGCACACAGTAACTGCCCTTCTGACCCTTGAACATGCTTGCAGAAGTATAAGATGCTGATTCTTTTAAAAAATTGATTATATAGCTCCAGTAGTTTAATAAGTTTGCTGTTTTCTGAATTTCAACTAATTTCTGAATGTAGTAAATAGGATTGAATTCTAAATATACAAAAGTTACCACAGCTAAGTAACTAAATTCCAGTCAAGAGAGAATTTAAAGATTTAAAATTGTTATTAAAAGGAGAGAATCTTACACCTGATTATACCTCTTCATGTTTTGAGTTACTAAAGATTAACAAATGTTATAGCTTAATATATTACATATTGTTCATTAACTATTCATGGTGAGTAATAAAGATACATAATTATTAATCTTTAAAGAATTTATAGGTGGAATGAGGTAATTATATACCTGACTTTTTTTCTCAGTGATACTACCTAGGTACAGCATTTCAGTCACTTTTGCTTATCTTCCTTACTCAGAGGTCTGAGTTTGTAGTTAGAAGCATTTTATCACACCAACTGATTAAATGGACAGATTTTGCAGTGTGAAAAAAGACTTGTGTGCATGCAAGTTTAGCTGTTTTTTGCTTCCCAGTAGCATGACAGAGCTTAACACAAGATACTAACTTTCTCTCTGACCTTACCTTAATTATATTTTTAGAGCACTGCAGATACATTCCCACTGATAAATTATTAATGTATTATTGGACAGCATTGAATGAAGAGAATCCTGGAAATTCCTATTTCGGTAATGACATGATTGATAATAACAATTAAAAAATTCTCCCTGTGTTGCCTCTCTTTAGCACTCCTTATTTCTTCTTTTCTCATCCAAGAGTATACTTTCTTCTTCTGAAGCATGAGAGCATTATTGCTACCCATTTGCCACGTTCATTCTTTGTGCCTTTATAAGACCTTTCAGACCTCAGTTTCCCTGGCTGGAACACTCTTCCATAAAAAAGGCAAGTGTAACACCTCAGTAGGGACTAACTGGTCTCTGCTTTTAAGCTTGCTGTCAGTAAACAGTGGGTTGTATCTCTCCACTTTGACTCTCTGTATAACTCATTCCCTGGCATATGGACTTGGTAGTGTATGTAAAGGACTGTGAAGTGGGACAGTGCACAAATTCAGCAGGTAGATATGCAATGAGAACAATGAGCCAGATTTTGAGTGCAAACACAAAATCAGGGAAGCTGAATGGCAAGTTGTGGTAGAAAGCCATGAGGAACACAGAGCAGAGGGGCAGAAAGCCCAGCTAAGACTTTGAGTGGGACTTTCGGAGCTGGTTCTTTCTCTAGTGGAAGCCAGCACATGGATCTCACTGATATAAATTTCCCTTATTTCATTAAACAAACTCTAGAAAGAGTTCTTTTCGTGAATACTTCCCCATTTCATCTCTGACTCCCATCTCTACCTCGCCATCTTTGGTGCTGAATTCTCATCATCCCCGTGCCCCCTAGTTCCTTACTTCTCTTGAATTCTACTTCTTTTCTCAGTCCCAACTTCCCTGGTTGTATCTATTAGTAATCATCCTGGTATCTGCACTGCAAACAGAGTTGAGTATCCAGTATTTTCTGAGGGCTACCTTTTGTCCTCATTTCTTCTTTTATTTTGAGAAAGAGGTAATGAATAATTTTGGCAGAACAATTTTGGTGTTGCTTCTCTTCCAACTACCAGAGTTGCCAGCTGGCATTCTTTTTTCTCCCTTCTTTTAAGCACAGCCAAGAGCAGCAGTAAGCTATGGCTGAGGTTTTATGGGCATTCACGTATGACATTCACCCTTAGGCCACACAATCTATAACAGAACTATTTTTTTATGCTTTATTGTAAATCATGTTGGCATTTTTCTTAAAATTCAGGGTCCTGAATTCATGCAGTTAAATGGGGATATCATCACTTATTTTAAAAAAAGGCTGTTTTCAGTCCATAGAGAAAATGTGAGCCAAAT